ACACACACACACACACACACACACACACACACACACACACACACACACACACACACACACACACACACACACACACACACACACACACGTAGATTGATGCACAAAGTTTCCTACCAGATTTCAGGCTCAAGTATTTGGTATTCATACGGCAAAATTGATATTGCATGTTACTTTGCTAACACAGGATTTTTTTAAGCTTATCTATTGACAATATGTGCTGGCAAGGCACAAAGTATTCCAAAGGCTGCCTCTGCATCATGCACTGATGCTGCAAAGTCAGCTTTTTAAAAATAGCTACATATGAGCCTAATAAGCTTATGTGTACAAAGATAAACCCTTACATATAGGAATCTGTCTATAAGAAAAGGGGCATTAAACATCTTTTGTTTACCACTCTTAGCTGGATGAATGAAAAGACAGATTTTATTAAAAAAGAATCAAAGCTGTCACTTAAAAGCTAAGAGGATTTAGAAAGTACTCAGAAGGGCAGCATTTGCGTAACATGCTGTAAATATTAAAATGCCAGTTCCATTATGCTGCATGTTAGCTACACACACAGGAATGCCATGTTGCAGATTCCTTTTAAAGTACTTTTTAGGATCACCTGCAACATGGCAACACCTGCAGAACAAATCTTATTTTCACTAGTGACAGAACATAGGAATATTGTTTACAGTCTTGTGAACTGTGTAGAAATGTGGAAGACTCCAAGTACTTCTAAATTTGGGGGTAGTTATTCACTCTCTTTTTGAAGCTTTATTCTGTTATTCATACAATGCCTCTCTGTTAATAGTTCAGATAGTAGTCCAAACTAACTCCCTTTTTCATTAGAAAAAAAAGCTACTGTACTTATGCAAGCTGGTCATTATAACCCTTCACCAAGAAAAAAAAAATCACGAGTTCATCTTCTTGGTCTGTTACCATAAGCTCAGTCTGAAACAAACCTCAATCTCAAACAAAATAAAAAAGGAAGAGGAAATTCATGGCCACAGCCTGTACTCTGCATCCCATTCTCACTGGCTCTGCAGACTCAATAAAACCAGCTACACATTAGTTGAATGTATTATTTATGAACTAGGAAAGTATGCTCAGCAATGATGAAGCAGAGATAAAGACATAGCTCATGCACCCAAGGATCCTACGCTCTAACATAGATGCTAGCAATACAGTTTATATGTGTATTACACACACACACACACACACACACACACACACACACACTAAGTAGAG